ATGAAATAATTACGATGTCAAAATAATAATGCTGCTGGATTACAGTTTTCGTGCTATGACATTGTAAATACTTCCAACGATAATTATTAAGTCATTTTTTATCTTAAATTATTATCATCCTAATACCGATGCAATTACGCATGTTGCCTCTACTTGGAGCGATTATTTCCTTGACATCTTAAGAATTTTCCTCTTTGCAATCTTCTTATCGAAGAACACGGATGTTTCTATCAGAGAAATTCCCAGTTTTCATTTGCAGACTTCAGCTTTTGAATTAGTTTTCAAACATTGTGGATTTCATTCAGGGAAATAAAATACGATAATTCCTGAAACGGCTGGAATATATAGAAAAGACGTTGAAAAGTAGCAGATCTTCAATGTGATAAGAAATAAACGTTAAAGTAATTTTAAAATGTTATTACAAACTGTATCTTAATCGCAAGACATTGCTGTTTAATAATATGAATAATTTATTAAAATTTATTAATAAATTTTTACTATTATCTGATATTTCTGAAAAATTAGGACATAGATAACAAATTAATTTTGCAGCACCTATTATATAACTTTGAAAATTCCAAACGGAACGTTTTTGATGAATGAGTTTTCGATTATGATTCTATTTTTGTTTTTGTAAATAACATTTGCAGAAAAATTGACGTATTCCGATAAAATAATGAATGACATAAAAAGTAAAGTAACCTGCGTTTACTGCAAACCGTGTAAATTATATGTAAAAATGATACCTTTCAATAATAAAATGACTCTCTTATGATGAATTTATATGATTTATATAATGATTTGTTTATGATGAATGCATCATGTTTTACATAGACATTTCTCGGACAAACATAATTTTAAAATTTAAACTGATATATTTCACCGACAATTAAATGTATTACATTCAGAGACTTTTACAGAAGTTATAATAAAAAATTCACACTATATAAAGTAAAAAAAATAATAATAATATATAAAAGATACATAAAAATGCATAATCAAAATACATAAATGTCAAATACATAAATGTCAAAATACATAAAAAGTTATATAAAAATTAAATATATCAAACTAAATTATAGAATAAATTGTCGGTATTTTTTTCTTTACAGAAAAGTCGACGATTATTTCATTTACTCGTTTCAATTAATAAAATTAAGAATATAGTTTATAAATTTAAAACATAGTACATAATAAAATTTATAATTATAATTAATAAATTAAAAAATGTAACTTTGTTTTCTATAAAACGTAGATTTATAATAATATTCAAAATTTTATACACATAAAACAAATAATTATACGTCTGAACTATGTACACTACTTTTTTTATATATATTTTTTAATAAACAAAAATCGTTAAAACTAAGACTACTATTATTGCTGGTTGTGATGTTACTTGGACGCCGTTACCATCATTTCCCATTGTCAATTTCCGGATAAATCTATATAAACAATAAGTATACATAATAACTAATGTAACGTAAAATTAATCATACATAATAATATTAACAATAATATCAATAAGACTTACGGAGATTTTTTTATTCAATTTATATAGCTTGCCAAATGATGTTCATTCTTAATAGTCATTAAAATTAGTTCTAGTAGCAACGAATATGTATTAGTGAGAAATATTACATTCTACTTCAAAACTTTACTTTTGGGACAGTATTTCCATAGCCAACTCTGAAATGTATGCTTTTTTTAACTGTTCCTTAAAATGCGAGTAATCCTCTAAACTTTCAGCTAAATAAAATGCTTTCATTACAATTTTAATGAGTTAAAATATAAAATATATTTTGATGATCCGTGCAAACTTTGGAATTTTTGTTTAACACTTAAAATTTCTACATGCATTTTTTATTTGTTAAAGCTAAGGTGGACATTTCGTTAACAATATATAACAGTTTTTCAATGGTATGCACAGTCCGTTTGAAGTGATAAAACGCATTTTGACGAACCAACTGTGTTATGTGTTTCCTTAATTTGTATTTTTCAATTTGTCCGAATGTGTCATTTTTATATGAGAAATCAGCCTGTGGTGAATACTAAGAACAAAATTCTTGTGACAAATATTACACTCCGCTACAAAATCATCTTTTTTTGTCCAATATTTATATGACCAACTGCGAAGGATATGATTCTTTCGTTGTTTCTCAGAATGCGAATTCAAGTGATTTTCTGTAGATTCAGATGTAGATCGAACATTTGCATTGCAGATAATACATTGTGAATATAATTTGTTTGAATACTTAAAATACATCCATGGCAATTTTATTAGTTTCTTTTCTTCTTCGTATTTCCAAATTTTTCTATGATGTCTTGCAAAATGCATTCGGAAATTATTAATGGTTATATAACAATATTTTTTTTGCAAAACGTGCACTGCGCTTTAAAATCCGGCAGTTTAACAAAATATTTCCACAGATGCTTCTTAGTTACAATTTTTAGTGACTTTGACGATGTGTTCGTTTGAAGTGATGAAACACGTTCTGACGAATCAACTGTGTCACGTGATTCTTGCGTATTTTTCAATTTGTCCCAATGTTTCACTTTTATATGAATATCCAAGTAATCATGAACCTGAAGAGATATATTTTTATTACAAATATTACACTCCGCTACAAAATCATCTTTTTTTGTCGAATATTTATATGGCCAACTGCTAAGGATATGATTCTTTCGTTGTTTTTCAGAATGTGAACTCAAATGATTTTCTACAGATTCGGATGTAGACAGAACATTTGCGTCACAAATAATACACTGTAAATGTGATTTGTTTAAATACTTAAAATACATCCATGGCAATTTCATTAGTTTTCTTTCTTGTTCGTATATCAAAGTTTTTTTATGATACTTTTCCATATGATTACGGAAATTTATAGTGCTTATATAATTATATTTGTTCTTACAAAACATGCACTGCGCTTTAAAATCCGGAAGTTTAACAAAATATTTCCACAGATGTTTCTTAGTTACAATTTTTAGTGACTTTGACGATGTGTTTGTTTGAAGTGATGAAACGCATTGTGATGAACCAACTGCGTCATGTGTTTCTTGCGTATTTTTTAATTTGTCCCAATGTTTCACTTTTATATGAATAACCAAGTAATCATAAACTTGAAGAGATATATTCTTATTACAAATATTACACTCCGCTACAAAATCATCTCTCTTTGTCAAATATTTCCATGGCCAACTGCGAAATGTATGATTTTCCCGTTGTTTTTCAGTATGTGTACTCAAGTGATTTTCTACATATTCGAACGTAGACAGAACATGTGTATCACAGATAACGCATTGTAAACAAGATTTGTTTAAATATTTGAAAAACATCCATGGCCCTTTTATTATTGTTTTCTCTTCTTCGTATTTCCAAATTTTTATATGATTTATTGCCATATGTGGTTTTAAGTATTCATCTCTTAAATATATATATTTATTTTCGCAAAATTTGCACTGTGCTTCAAAATCCGATAGTTTCACATAATATTCCCACACATGTTTTTTATATGCATTATTTAGTGATGTAGACATTATGTCCGTTTGAAATGACTAGACGCGTACAACTGATACGATGAACTAACACGAACTGATACAAGAACCTTTCTGTGGATGAGTGTAGTAGAGAACGAAGGAAGACGCCACTTCCACCTTCCACTTGAATGTAAATATTAATTCGTCGGTCAAATCTAACTAACAACGATCAAAATACGCAGTAACATTTCATACCATGTATGAATAGTAATAACATTTCAGCCAAATAGACGTTACACCGCGTATCTTTTACACGAATATTTTGTAAGAAATAGTGCACATATAATATATATTATTTTTCTGTATTAAATAAAATTACTTTTATATTATGGCTATAGCAAAGAAATCGATATTACTATATGAAAGAAACGCGTATTTTTTAAATTATACAGCATTAAGTGCAATTAATGTACGGATCGCAGAAATAAATAGATATGATTGACTCAATAGATATCGCATAGAAAGCTATTATGTGTATGCATTTCGCCACCTGATTTATTTTCAGATATGGCATTGTCGTCGACTTTCTTTACAATAACGTTTTGTTTTGTTGGTATAAATTTCGTATTACATCATTTAATTTATATTTTTACAATAATAACAGTTTTTAATGTTTTTTAATTCGCTTTAATTTAATCTTAAATACTCGTTTTAAAATAAAGATTATTTAATATTTTAATATTTTATTTTGTTTGAATATTTTTGTTAAAACGCACTTTGACAGTTATTCGTCTTTGTGGAAAAATAATTTCGGCATTTTTTAATAATAGAAAATATATTGAGTGGAGACAAAAGATATGATAAGTTTCATGGTAGAGAAATAAACTAAGTGATTTTATTAAACTAGACACACTAGCGCTCATTATACGCGCAATTAATTTTTTTAGTTACAAAAAATTATTTATTATAACTATGTTTAATAAGAATAATATTTTATCACCATTATTTATATGTTATTATATCATTAAATTCGCAATTTGTAGTACTTTTTACCACAAGTCCTGTTATTCACGTGCAAAAATATATTAAAATTACTTAAACTTGTTATTAGGTTATTACATAAATGTATAGTCTAAAATAATATGAAAATTAATAATCGGATCGAATTTCAAGTGAGCATTTATATTAAAGTAACAGAGTTACGTCTTTTACTTCAAAAAAGATTTAAACAAAATATTCAAAAATGTATCGAGGAAGACACTTTAAATATTTTCTGTAAAAACAATGACAGCAAACCGTATAAATCATATGTAAAAATTAATGTTTAAGCAAAATGATTAATATCGCGGAAGAAAGGAAGAATGAAAATCTTATATGCTTTTTATAGATAAAATATTGATAAACGCTGCAATTAATTTCATCAACAAGCTTATCTATTCCACTATTATCTACAAGTAATAATATACGAAATAATTTCTGTAATACATCTCATAATAGTGAACTTGTATAATGTAAAGTACATTGTGACGTTTTATGCTAATGAATGAAACAATCACGATCACAAAATGATAATGCTGCTTGATTACAATTTTCGTGATATAACATTGTAAATACTTCCGACAATAATTATTAAGTCACTTTTTATCCTAAATTATTATCATTTCAATACCGATGCAATTACACATGTTGTCACTACTCGAAGCGATTATCTCCTTGACATCTTCAGAATTTTCCGCTTTGCAATCTTCTTAGCGAAAAACACGGACGTTTCTATCAAAAAATTTTCCAATTTTTATTTGCAGATTTCAGCTTTTGAATTAGTTTTCAAACATTGTGGATTCCATTCAGGGAAATAAAATACGATAATTCCTGAAACGGCTGGAATATATAAAAAACGTTAAAAAGTAAACGAATCTCCAACGTGATGAGAAAGTAACATTAATGTAATTTTAAAATGTTATTACGAGCTGCATCTTAACCGAAAACTTTGCTGTTTAATACTATAAATAATTTATTAAAGTTAATCAATAAATTTTTATTATTATTTGATATTTCAGAAAAATTGGGACAAATGTAACAAATTAATTAAGCAGCACTTATCTTTGAAAATTCCGAACGAAACGTTTTTGATAAATGAGTTTCCGATTATGATTCTATTTGTGAATTTGTGTGAATAACATTGACAGAAAAATTGACGCATTTTGATAAAATAATGAAAGAAATAAGAACAAAAACAACCTGCATTTACTGCAAACCGTACAAATTATATATAAAAATGATACTTTTAAATAATAAAATGACACTCTCTTATGATGTATTTATTTAATTTATATGGCGATTTATATTTATGATGAATTCATCATGTATAACATAAACATTTTTTGAACAAACATAATTATAAAATTTAAACTAATATATTTCACCGACAATTAAATGTATTACATTCGGAAACTATTACAGAAGTTATAATAATAAATTGGCACGAGTGTACAAAAAATAATGAAAATATATTAAAAAATTTCAACATGCGTCAAAATTCACAACTTATATAAAACTTTATTATTTGAATTTATACTGTATATTGCCGGTATTTTTCTCTTTACAGAAATTTCGATGATAATTTTATTAAATTGTTTCAATTAATAAATTAAAAATATAGTTTATAAATTTAAAACATAGTAAAATTTATAATTATAGTTAATAAATTAAAATCGTTAAAATTTAAACTGCCAATATTGCTGGTTGTGATGTAACTTGGATGCCGTTACCATCATTTTCCATTGTCAACTTCCAAATTAATCTGTATAAACAATAATTATACATAATGATTAATGTAATGTAAAATTAATTTTACATAATAATATTAACAATAATATCAATAAAATTTACGAACATTTTTTCATTTAATGTAGTTAACTTGCCACATGATAGTCATCCTTAATATAGTCATTTAAATTAGTTCTAGTAATAACGAATATGTATCAGTGACAAATATTACCTTCTACTTCAAAACATCACTTTCGGTACAGTATTTCCATAGCCAACTCTGAAATGTATGCTTTTTAAACTGTTCCTTAAAATGCGAGTGAT